ATATGCTAACTTACCTTGTAAGCTTTTTAATTCATGAATATCATTAGGCTCGAGCATTTTTAAGATAGCATCCACCTTAGTTTGATCAATTTTGATACCTCAATGTCGAACAATAAAACCTAGGAACTTCCCAAAAGTAACTCCAAAGGCGTACTTCAACGGATTCATTCTGAGTTGGTATCTCTGAAGCCGTTCGAATACTATCCTCAAATCTTGTAAGTGATCATCTTTATTCCTTGACTTTACCACCAAATACTCAACATAACACTCCACATTTTTATGAAGCATGTCATCAAAAATATTTTGCATGGCACGTTGATATGTAGCACCAGTATTTTTCAAACCAAAAGGCATTACCTTGTAGCAGTATATACTTTTAGGGGTGCAAAAGGCGGTAAGTTCTTCATCCTTCGGTGCCATGCGAATTTGATTATATCCAAATGAACCATCCATGAAAAACATCGCCTCATATCTAGTCATGGTATCAATCATAAGCTCCGAGATGGGAGGAGGAAATTCATCCTTACGACAAGCATTATTTAGATCCCTAAAGTCAACACAAACTTGAATTTGGCCATTCTTCTTTCTTACATGGATGATGCTTGAAATCCATGTAGGATACTTAACTTCACGAATGAAACCAGCCTCAATAAGCTTGTTAATTTCGGTTTCAATCAAGGAAACCAGTTCAGGTCTAACACGACGTTGTGCTTGCTTTACGGGACGAGCACCTCATTTGACAACAAGATGATGAACAACCACCTTGGGGTCTAAACCTGGCATCTCTTTGTAACTCCAAGCAAATACGTCTTTGAATTCCTTAAGTAGCTCAATATATTTGCTCTTTTCATCAACAGAGTCATTTACATACGTGGGCTTTGGATCTTCAATAACTCCGAGATTGACTTCTTTTAGTACATCAATCGTTGTCTTCACCCCTTCTTCAAGGTCAAGTGGTGCATCTTTAGCGTCTTCATCCCCTTGGATGGTGAAGAAAAGTATGAATTTTCTCTTACACCTTACTTCGTGTGAAATAACTCACATGGAGTGATTGGAGCGTAGAGCTAATGTCTTCTCAACAATTTCAGCAGTGTTCGCTCATTCTTCTAGTTCAGTTAAAAAGGAACCTGCCCCCTTTGAGGATCGAAAATCAAAGATAGGAACCGATGCAGAAGATATTTGAAATACTTGTTGGCCCAGCAAGTTTGCTTTGTTCCTAGTGATATGTCCTACACTTTTCATAGTAGCATCCAATAAGTTTTCCACATTAGAGAAAAACTTGGAATCCATGGCCTTAGCAGTAGTGAATTTGAAGTAGGTCTTCTTAGGAGCCATTTGAGTGCTCTTAAAATTTGATAATTGAAGAGATGAGAGGTAAGATTGTCCAACCGGGCGTGCCAAAAAATTGTAACAATAAATTTCCGCGTCGAGAAAAATAAGTAATCAAGATTAGAAAATTGCGCGACAAATGTAGTATTTGATTTCAATAAATGATGAGTGTTGCAATCTCTATAGTATTCCTCTGATTCTTCAAGAATATAAACTATCTTGATGAGCTTGATTTTGATTTGATTCAAGGGCTTGTAAAGCTTGGTCTTGAATCTCCTTATTGAACTTGAATTTGGATTTGATCTTGAACGCCTTGGTATTTGATTTGGCTTCGTTCTTGAATTTGTAGCTTGTAGAGAAATCTGCAACCTTTGATCCACGAGCTTTTTGCTTGCTTCTTGTTCTCACTTCTGGTGTCTTCTAACTTTATGAGGATCTCTATTTATAGTTGCTGGGAGTGGTATGGGTCTGCAATTTGATTGGTCCGTTTGAACTGACCAATACCATCTAGACACTTGGCACAACTCTATTGATTATTGATTTGACTTGGTATGCCACCCTCTCTTGACACATGGCATGATTTAATTGGATCATTTTTTTTAATCTTGGATCGCCACATCATTTGACATGTGGCAAGATTTTATTAACTCGTTCTTTTTTACTTGGATTGCCATATCACTTGACACGAGGCATGAACCTGGTCTTTAAGATAGGTTAATAGCCATTTGGACATTGGGCTAATGAAGTGGGCGTATTATTTAATTTATAGTCCAATTAAATGAACTAGCCCAACACATATATATTGAATTTAAATAATTATCCTAATTTACTAACCACAATATAAGTTTGGACTAATGATGTCTTGAATTTTATATAGTCCGAATAATTTGTGATTTAAAATCCAACAAGATTTGCATGGTTACAGGTAGTACTAAATTACCCTTACCATTACTTCCCACGTTTTCTATAAGCTGACTCATTTGAGGTTCCTATTGAAATCATCCGTTCAAAACCTTTTCACATGCTTGGTATTTTTTTATAAAATGCAAAATATGTTGTCACTTTATTTCTTATACAGAGTGATCTTTTGCCTTTTGCTTTCCACTTTTGAATTTCTATGCTATTCTAGGCAAAGTTATGCTGGGATATTACCCAAAAATTAAAATCATGTATTAAGCATCATCATTTGAAATATATTGAATTGTTTTATTAATCCCAATTTAAAGACTGAAAAAGAAAAATAAATCCCCCTTCACAGTACTAAGTTTTCCTTCATTACTACTACTCTCAGAGTCCACAAATCTTTTCCTTTTAAAAGAAAAATGCTCGAGTTGTCCTAGCAGATAAAAGCCTACATAACAGGAGTATTGGATGATGTTGTCACCGAAAGAAGAAAATAATGAGAAAACAAAAGCATAATTTGTAAAAGAACAAAAGATGTAAAAAAGACATTTGATTCCTATTCCTATTATAACTTTTCTGCTTCAACATTCAACTCATGTTATTTGTGTGTATATTACATATATTTTCGCAAAAATAAGGGAGTTAGCTCAATCCATATGTTGAATAGTCCACTCATCTGGAAATAGACTTATATAGATTAAAAATAACAGTAATAGAGGAATATTCATTAATTTTAATATCTGCAGTTACTCATATTCACATGTTAATTATGTTGTTGAATTATAAAAGAAAAAATATTATCAAGCTGAATATTTAATATGTTAGACAAACTGCACAATTGAAGTCGTTTGAACATACTTTTTAAGTTTTATTATATAATTTATGTTAGACAACTTCAAAAAATTAAAGAAAATATGGTTGGAAGCCAAAATTGTAATTAAAATTGATTCAAGGAAGAGTGAATTAAATAAAATAACTAGAAACTAATTGCAATTTTAATTGTCTATAACTTTTAACAGTAATTACTTCAATCATAATTTTGAAAGAAGTATAAACTTTAAAAATATGTACTCAATAATGGATGACAAAATAACCACAAGTGCTTGAGAAGATTCATTTATCTCTAATAACAAGTACATAATTGTTTTAATTGAATATAAAGTAACTTTTGAGGCCTTAATATTTCGGCCTAAAGCAACAATTTTTTAGCTTAACCAGGAAGCTAAAGCTAACTCCAAGTAGCAAAAGTAAGATCACTGAACGGACTAGAATTTGATTGAAGATTAGGCCCGGGGGGGGGGGAGTAAGATTTGCAATAGTCTATTCAGTACCCTTGTATTAGGAAGAAAAAAAATTCATAGTGGAGAAACAAGTTCAGTTTTTTTTTCTTTTTGGGTGAATCACTTTTTCTCTTCGCTTTATGTGATCTAGATGTTTTCTTATACTCAAAGAGAGAGAGAGGGGCAAAGATAATTAGTATTCCGAAATCAAGCAAAAATACTATGCGTGAGTACCATATTTCTCAATACTAGCGTTGTGAAAATTAGCATGAACTTTTTGAATTATATTGGGGTAGAACTCATGCTCAGTCCGCTATAAGAGGAAGAGTACAACAAACAACAACCCAGTATAATCTCACTAGTGAGGTTTGGGGAGAGTAGTGTGTACGCAGACCTTACCTCTACCCTGGGATAGAGAGGCTGTTTCCAATAGACCCTCGGCATCCTTCCCTCCAAGAACTCTCACCTTGCTCTTGGGGTGACTCGAACTCACCTCCTCTTGGTTGGAAGTGGAGGGCGCTTACCATCTGAGCAACCCAATTGTTTAAAGCAATATAAATGATATTCATCAAGAAATTAGGTAATAACGTAAGTTGAGATTTAAACGTATTCTCTGAGAAAAGAAGGTATATTTACTAAATGTAATTGAAAAAGAAAGAGAAAATAGGTAGATAAAAATGGAGCAGCGAATGATTATAAAAACTTTCTACTTCTATTCTATGTGGTCTTTGCACCTCTAACATTATTTTCTTCAACCTGATAAGAGTATGCGAGAGCATGAAAATATTGGAGGACTAAAAGGTAAAAGGGGCAGGAGTATTTACGTTAATTCAAGTCTCGTGTATCTTTAATTCCTTTTCGCCTTTTAGCTTTTATTCCTAGCACTTGAGAGTGATAATAATACATGGTGCATTGCAGTGCCTCATTCCCCTTGATGTTGGATACCATAAGTTCATACACTCACTCTTAAACACCCAACCGAAGAAAAACATGTTAAAGATAAATTATTAGTACGATGATCTCAGATATCAAACTAGCAGATCCCTACTTTGGATTTGGGCAAAGAATATGTAATTTACTCTATCCATACCACGCAAACGTACACTGTAATGTCCAACGAGACAGTCTAAAGAAGTCGCTGTATATGTTTTTTAAGTCGTAAAATCATGTATTAACTCATTCCTGCAAAGATCAATTCCGAAAATTCACTTGTTTGAGGTTCCATATCTAGCTTAACGTATCACTGTCCCTTTAGAAGCTGAAATTTGTTGGGGAAAACAACAGAGCAGCTGAAAGACCACACTAGTTTTACTCCTTCAGAGTACAGAAAGGCACATCACCACAGTAATAAAAGATTTAACACTTTAGATGAATCAAACACCACAATCCTTGCATACCCTACCAAAGAGGATAAGAAAAACAGCCACCACATAATTAAAGCTTAAATATGAACCCACCATTGGACTTCAACTATTTTAACAAATAACATATCTTCAACAAAAGAATTGTATAAGAAATTTAATCTTAACTCACAGAAAGCAAAGAGTAGAAAATTTTAAAAAGCTCAAATTAAGTACTTTAGGCAACAAAAATAGCAAAAAACCTGAGCTGCCGTGGAAAACCAAGGCACCTCCTCAACACAATGAAGACAGACTCAAAAGTCAAGCTCACCACCGCCTGTCAAGTACCCAGTTCTGAGAACGGCTACCTGACATACAAGGCAGAGAACCAGAACCTAAAATCAAAAACAAAACTATAGCAGAACTAAATAAAACAGAGTCTACATAACACACTTGACGATAATAGATAGCACTGGAAATACCAGCATTACACTGCACTGTTCACTTTTTCTTCTGGGCGGCCTTGGTGACCTTGGCACCAGTTGGGTCCTTCTTGTCAACATTCTTGATGACACCAACAGCAACAGTCTGACGCATGTCCCTCACAGCAAAACGACCCAATGGTGGGTACTCAGCGAAGGTCTCAACAACCATAGGCTTGGTCGGAATCATCTTAACCATACCAGCATCACCATTCTT